TATGGTTTGATCCAGTTATGTTGCGCTCATATTTTGCTTGTACTTTTTCCCAAAATAATTGGATCAAACCATATATACTGTTATGTGAGGACCAACATATCCCATATCATACTCTCATATACAGCAAGGTTTTAAAGGTCTTCTCATTTTCGGGGGGAAATGGATGCTGCAGCCCACTGCTGGTGGAGAGGGGTGTTACGGGAGCATGCACGCAGTGATGGGGCGCCCAGAAAGGGGGCCCAGGAAGCCTCCTGGGAGCTGACAGTTGAATCTTGAAGGGTGTCAAGTTTGCCAGGTTGGGAGAGCAGAAAGCTTCTCCCAGAACAAACAGCCTATGAGAAACTACTGAAAACCTTGATAGGCCATGGCCTGTTGGAGACCAGGGAGGACTCCAGGGGGTGTGGGAGTGGGTGGGGGTCCACTCAATAGGAGGTGAAGGGCAGGGGAGGTCCCTGTTATAAACTGCATTGCTTGCCAGGGGGTGGAGTAGGAAATTGCTCCTGTTGATAGTGGGGAACCAGGGACTTGGTGGAATCAATGCTCCCTTACATGAAAGCAAGTGTTACTGAATGAGGAGAACCCAAACCCAGCTTTCCTCTTTCCTTAAGGATAGATTTTTTTTTTTTTTAAATCTAGTGCGTCAGCCCTAGCTGGTTTGTCTTCATGGACAGAGCACTGGCCCTTGGACTGAAGGGTCCCGGGTTCAATTCCAGTCAAGGGCACATAACTGGGTTGCAGGCTCGATCCCTGGCCCTAATGGGGACGCTTGTGGGAGGCAACCAATAGATGTATATCTAACAGATGTTTCTCTCTGTCTCTCCCGCTCCCTTCCACTCTCTCTAAAAATCAATGGGAAAATATCCTTGGGTGAGGATTAACAAAATAAATAAATTTATTTTTTAAAAAAACCTAGTGCTTTAAAAAATCTTCAAATACAGGCCAAATGCAGTCCTTATGAATATTTCTCTGAAAATTCTCATAACTGTGGCAGAAGCCTGGTCAGCACCCTGTGGAGTTCTTCAGCGGCATGCCTCCATACTCCCCAATGCCCAGGGCTCCTGCACTGGCAAAGGCGTCTGCAGAGAGCACCCGGCGGGAGTGGTTTAGGCCGCTCTCCTCCGGAGAAAGGAGTATGCTGGTCCTGCCAGGGCCTGCGGGAGGGCTTTGATGAGGAGGAAAACTATGGAACCCTATCCTGGCCAGTTTGGGGTGTGGGGTTTCCCCCACAGAATCAATTGTTTCTTAACCAGCTCCTTGTGCGCCACCCCGTGGGGAGGTGCTAGAATACAGCTTTGAAGGCTTTTGAAGGGTGCATCCAACTGAGCCTGCCTTCCTCGAGTTTCTGATCTGCTGTTGCAAGGGCTCTGTCTCTCTGAGGATGTCAGGGGACATCCCAGGGGGCAGCTTCTCTCCTGCATTTGGGGCTGCAGGGTGTGTGAGGAGGCACCGGTCCTGGCTTTTCACAGACTAGCTCAAGGGCTTCGGATAAGCGCCCTGTGCGCTCTCAGACGGTTCCCTCTTCCGCTTTGTTGTTGTTGTTTGTTTCCCTACTTCTAGTGCCTGCAGTCTATAGTGACGAAAGTGTTTGAGTATTTATGGCACCTGTAATTCAAAGAGGCATGAGTCTGGGTGATGAAAATACATCTCTGGCATTTTGAAAATTCAGGAATGACTGCGACCATCTGTGAATACTATATATATAAGTCAGTATTAAATCAATATCATCTGAATGCATATTCATAGGAACGTCTGGCCTTTGCAGTCAGCCCTGAGTTCGAATCCCACCCCTGCCACTTCCTGTGTGGCTTTGATAAGTTGCTCTCAGTCTCTGAGCCTGTTTGCGCCTCAGTCCAATGGGGTGGCAGTCTCACTTCACAGGGTTAGGGGAAGGGTTACATGATGGAATATGGGCACCGCAGGGTAGAGGTGGGGCTGTCTCAGAAGTTAGAGAAGGCACCCTAAAAAGGGGCATTTCAGCCAAGACCCAAAGGCACAGAGAGGTCACGCAAGGGTGGTGAGTGCAGAGTGGGATCTAAATGTAGGTGAAAGAGGTGGCCAGTTCAATTCCTGGTCAGGGCACATGCCTGGGTTGCGGGCTCAATCCCCAGTGTGGGCGTGCAGGAGGCAGCCAATTAATGTTTCTCATTGATGTTTCTATCTCACCCTCTCCCTCTCTCTCTAAAAACCAATAAGAACATATTTTTAAAAATTGTAAATGTGGGTGAATTCAGTTCTACCATACCTCACGGCCTCCCTTCCTCTAAATATTTGCATGTATGTCATTGAATTTTTTTTTTTATTGTTTAAGTCCTCACCTGAGGATATGCCCCATTGATTTTAGCAAGAAAAGAAGAGAAAGGGAGAGGGAGAGGGAGAAACATCAATTGGTTGCCTCCTGCACACACCCCAACCCAGGGATCAAACCTGAAATCTGGGTATGTACCCTGACCTGGAATTAAACCCACAACCTTTCAGTGTACGGGACAATGCTCCAACCAACTGAGCCACACTGGCCAGGGAATCTATACTAATAAAAGGGTAATATGCTAATTAGACCAGGAGACCTTCCAGACAAAGCCATGGTGGTGGGGCTGAGGCAGAGGCGGTTAGGGGTGATCAGGCTGGCAGGGGAGGGCAGTTGGGGGTGAATAGGTCGACACGGGGGAAAGCTGGGGGCAAGCAGGCCAGCGGGGGGGGGGGCGCGCAGTTGAGGGCGAGCAGGCCAGCAGGGGAGGCAGTTGGGGTGGGGAGCAGGCTGGCGGGAGGGGCAGTTGGGGGCAATCAGGCCAGCATGGGCGGGCAGTTAGGGGTGATCAGGCCAGAAGGGGGGGGGGCAGTTGGGGTTGATCAGGCTGGCATGCAGAGTGGTTAGGGGCAATCAGACAGGCAGGCAGGTAAGCAGTTAGGACCCAGCGGTCCTGGATTGCAAGAGGGATGTCCGACTGCCCCACAGGGATTGGGCCTAAACTGGCAGTCGGACATCCCCTGAGGGGTCCCAGATTGAAGAGGGTGCAGGCCGGGCTGAGGGACGCCCCCCCCCACCCCCATGCATGAATTTTGTGCACCGGGCCACTAGTGTTATTATATTTTAGCTTGTGATCTATAGCTCTTTCTCCCAGATAGACTATAGCTCCTTGCAAACAGCAACCTCATCTCCCAGGCACCTGCTACATAGTACAAGTAATAGGCCTAAATAGATGCTCATTTAATTTTTCAGTTTATGTATCTGTATGTACTTGCATGCATTTAATAATCTTCTAGGGGTGCTAAATTCTTCTATGTACTAGTATGTTCTGTTATTTCCTTAACCAACACATTGTTATGTTTTCCAAGAATCTCTGAGCACCTGGACACACCCATGCTCAAGCTCCTTTTACTCCTATTTTCTAGGCTGGGGTGATCCAGGGCCAGTGTGCAAGGGGTGCAGCATCTGGCATCAGTTCTGCAGCAGGTGGGACTTGGATGCAGCTCATTCATCTACTAGAAATGACATTGAACGTGTCCTGCCAAATGCTGCACAGGGCAGGGCTCATTGCAGCCTGCCTTCCAGGCCCTGGATGAGGAAAGAGGAGCCGCTGCCCTGTGCCAGGCACTGTGCAAAGTGAGGGACACATGGTGGAAGCACATGTGTGATCAAATGGGAGTTTCTTTTTCCTGACACTTAGTCGCTCACAGTGGCGAAGGCCCATAGTCCGTGCACACACACAGAGTATGGACCAGCTCGTTGCATGCAGGACTCCATCCAGGTGGGCACAAGCGGAGGGAGTGGCTAGCTTCACAGGGGGGTGTGAGGGAGTGTAGGAAGGTGTGCCAGGCAGTGAATTTCTCTTGCTGATTGGGAAAAATTATGGCGAGTAGCCAAGGAAAGAGGGCAGGATGTGGTAGGAGCAGGCACAGACGAGAGGCTCAGCCTGTGCAGAGGCCCAGAGAATGAGAACGGGTGGCACCTTTAGCCCCTGAACATGCCCACGAGAGCCACTCAGGTGGTAGGTGGGTAAGAGGCAAGGTGGTTGGTTGCATGTCAGACCCATTAGTATAGTCTGCATTTCCAGTAAGAAATGTCTTCCCTCCTGCTTTTCTTGACTTATACCCACTTAGACTGTGCTTCATCTTTTCAATCTTTGATGGAAACTTAGGTAAAGAGATATTATTCTCCAAGAAACACAGCAGCATAAATCCAACAATCCTATCCATCTGTACATGGTACTTGGTTCCTGATGGTGAGACCAGTGGGAGTGGTGGGGCCTGGAAAGCATGTCCTGCCTCTGAAGGGGCAGCTCGTGCCAAGCCAGCTCATCCAGGTTCGGTGAGCCTGAGAGGGGGCGGGGAAGGATGGAGAAAAGACAGACAAGAGAATGAAAGCTGGGTCAGGGTGGGACGCTGTCCTCTCCGATGGAGAGCTAGCGACAGTGCCACGGACTACAAGCTGTGTCTTTATTTTATAGCCAGATTCCACGAGGCAAAGTAAGGGTGTGTTTACAACGTTCTCGTGAGTTTCGAATCTACTCAATTACATGCACCTGAACTCTATCAAGCCCACATCACTCAGGCACGTGGGGCCACGTGTGCGGACCCTAGGTTCAAGCTTGCAGCTATAGCTGTTGGCTATAATTGTGCTGGGAGGGCTTTGCCCTCCAGGCTGGGACTTGCACGTGGCAATGAGAGGACTGTGCCCTCTCATTAGTCCGAAGCTTGACCCTGTCCAAACACTGTAGCCGCTCTCCACAGCGGCTGGAGTTAAAGGGTCTTGCAATATTTCAGAAAAAGCAAGCAACCTGGATTTTCAGCCAGTTAGCTGTGTTTTTAAAGATGCTTTGATTAAAACAAAAAAACAAACAAACAAAAACGAAACAGAAGCCATCTGCAAGCCAAGCCTTATTCATGGCCATGCTTGCAGCATCTTGCTCAAAGTCTCCAGAGCTCACAGGGGTATGTCAGACCCTTCCACAAGCCACCGCAATGCCTTCAGTTCCCTAACCGCCCTTCTCCCTGCTTTCCAGAAGGAGATGACCAGCCGGATGTGTCACTAGCGCCCCACCCTACCCTGCGGAAGAGAGGGCAGCTGCTCGCTCCTGGTCCTGGAGGCCCAGGTGGGCGGGAGGAGACCTGGCTGAGATGGCGCTCAGACTTCCAGGAGCCTGCGAGGGGGACATCTGGGTGACTCCCGAGAGACACGCCCCTCACTTCTGCGTCTTAACCCTGAGTGCTGCTAGCCTCGCCCTGTGGAGTGGCAGCCCGCAGCGCGATAGAAGGACCCCCACCCCCCTGTCCGCAGAAAGCCCTGCCTGGGCCCGCGCTGGGCCGGATTCAGGTTGTGAGACTGAGACACTGTGTGCTTTCCCTCCTCTGTCTTGTCCGCCGGCCGACTTTTCCGTCCGTGTGTTCTAAGTCCCGAGTGCACTTGGATCTCTGGATGTCCTGCGAGTCTGTCTAAACAAGCCTTCCTCCCGTTCAGTCCCTGCAAACTCCCGCCCTGCTCCTGTGGCCTGACTGTGCGCAGGGCTGTGGAGCTGGAGACGAGGCCCTGGCAGCATCCACACCGTTTCCCTAACAGGCATCCTATCAGGGACACTCTGCGGGGGGCCGTCTCTGCCCCCGGCGGGGTCTGCACACTTACCTACAGGGAAGAGCCTGGTTTCTAGTCACCAGTTCACCCTGAACCGAATGTGTTTTTATAACCACGCCATTCTTTCCACTTAAGATGTTTGGTCCTGTTTCCCAGAAGAGAGGAATGGGAGGGAGTTATAAATGACCAGGGATGGTCAGCAGAAGCCCTGAGCCAGATTAGTGCCGTGTTTGTTCTTCATTGGGGAGGGGGGGTGGAGGGGGTCGTGGCTGTCGCTGCGTAATACCAAATTTCAGCTAAAAAAACAAAAGTACAATTGGCTGTTGGTGCATGGAGCTCAGACTCCCGGGCACGGCCTTAACCTTCCCGGCTGGCCCTCTGAGCTTCTGAACCCAGCCAATGGCCGCTTCCTCTTCCTCCACCCTCTCCTCGCCTCTGCTGTATTACATGATGGCCTGAAATTAACTTCTGCCCCAATGATTGTGCCACAGTTGCCAAGGTAACCGTGGAGCTGCAGCGCATTTCCTTCTTCCATCCTCCCCAAGTTTTCCATTCCAGTAGACAGGATGCCCACTCTGGGCTACTTCCTGCCTGTTGAAACCCAGGTGAGTGTCACCTCTCTGATTCATTCACCACGCGGTGGAGGCCCCGGAAGCCTGTGACTAGGTGGTAACTATACTTCCAGTGAGCATTTGAATATGGCAAAATAGCCGTTGGTGGAGGGAAGTAGAAACGAATGTATTAGTGCATTGTAATGTAGTACCGATTAAAGAATAACTAAGCAACTCTGATTTCTGTTTCATTATACATAACATATTAAAGCCATTTGTGGCGGCCACAAGAGCCTAAGAGCATGAACTCGTTCTTCGTCCAGACTAAGAAAGGGCTGACTGTCTGGGCTCGGTGGCATTCTGCATTGACCCAACCCAACCCTTTGCTTCTCGTCCAAGTTGTCTCATGGAATCCAAATGCTGCTACCTCTCTCCGTGTGGTTATGCTCTGGCCAGCAAAACTCACTGCCCTTTTATGTTTGAGAGGACAAGACAGGCAGAGATGTTTCAGCTTCATTTGGGGCTGAAAGAACACCTGACTGTCCTAGGGACCCAGAGAAACAGGAACAAGAGCCCCTGCAGGACCACGCACAGCAAGTGCCGTGTGACAGAGCAGGACCTGGAGGAGTTCGGAAGCCTGGACCTGGGACAACCACGGGGCTTTGCATTGAAAATGGACTGCGTTCCTGCATCTCCGTCACATAGGATGCTGGACTCTGAAGACATTTGTTATTAATTCTTTTTAAGGTTATTCCTAGTCACTGTTGGTGCATCTGAAATTTCCATTCAATTTAAAAATCCAAATATTTTTTTCAACTCCTTGGAACAGATTCCTCCTGGTTATATCGCTCATTGCACTAATTAACTCCTCTAGGATAAGCGCTGGCACACGGCTCTTATTTTTTAATTACAGAGCATTTTTATTCCCGCAGAACCTTGTTTGGCAAATTCTAAAGAAAATCATTACAGGAGGGCTTTTGTTTTGTTGTTTTTTTTAATCTTTTTGGCGCGACCACATCACAAGTACATCCCATTGTACATGGAGGACCTGAGCTCAGGCAGCCCCGCAGGCACCCCTGGCTCTGGGTCCGACACTGACATCTGGCTTCTTCCTCTGAACCTGCTGGCTCTCCATCTCCCACTATGTTTCAGTTGAATTATACATGTAGCCACTCTTCTTTCTTTCTGCGAAATTTCAAAAAGGGAAGATTATAATGAACATCCATAGACCCTTCTTCACAGGCATCAATTGTTAACATTTTTTCAGCTGTTAACATTTCCATATTTTCTTTCTCTCTCTGTAAATATTCATTCTTATTGATGAACCATGTCAAAATACAATGCAGACCTCATAAAACTTTAAAATACTTTGTCAATTGTCCCTACATTAAGAAAGATCCAAAGACTACATAAAATAAGTAAAAACATAATAAATGAGAGCTTTGTCTGCATACCCATGACATATTTGAAGACCATTACCAATGGCCCTTCAGCCTTTTTTCCCTTAGCCGTCTCTCATTGGCAGAATTCTCTCGGAAGTCTGTTGCTCCGCTAAGAGTTCTGTAGTCCAACGTGAAACCTTCCCAAAGCTCTCCATGTCACTGTGCGTTAGGATGGAACCAAGAGTGAACATGTAAAAAATTATTGCATGTTTTCTACAAACTATATTGTGCCTTTGTTCAATCCTAACTTGATTTTTATACATTGACAAATTTTCTGTTCTGTTAGCCCACACTAAATTATCATCTATATTATATTCAACCATTTTGATGTATCTCCTTGAGTTTTGTTTGTTTTAAACACCTCTTTAATTGGCAGAGTACTGAGGGACTTGGATAGGGTTCTCACCGTTTTGTGGTGATTTACGTCAATCCATCAATCTGGTCACCAGTGGAAGCACAGCACTTCCTGTGACCCCTCGCCTTCCATCACACCCACACCCCGTGAGCATCACACTGTGAGAAAAGAAACACTGTAGGAAAGGCATGGCCCTGTCTCAGAGGAGTGTGTACAAAGGGGTCAGATGTGTCCCTTGGGTAATCCTGTTGTCATTTGTTCTTGGATCATTTTGGTCCTTGATGACGTAGATGATTCTCTCTTAGAATTATCCAAACAAAGTGTGTTTTGGAAAGAATTGATTTTTCCCTGCTTTAAAAAAATATATCAACAATAAAACAAAACAAACAAAAAAAGCACACCTCTTTACAACAGGCTATTTATTTCTGGCCAGTTATTAATTCTGGGTAAGAAGTTTTCAAGGAGTAAATAAGGATTTTTGTAACTTTTAGAGGGAAGAGTCCAGTTCTAGTCTGACAATTAAGCTGTTTTGCTAGCTCTTAGTGTTCTCATTTCAAAGTTTCCAGTATCTTTTCTAATTGCATCAGAAAAATGATTATTTTTAGTTCCATTTGTGATTAAATTAAGGGTTTGACAATAAGAGCCTACACAAATCAATTAGAAAAGCAAGATAAAGTGAAAGAACTTTTATGAAATCAATTCTGTGTGAGCTTGGGAATCCAAATGTCAACAATAAAGGACATGTAACCATCATCTATTCTGTCTTTTTTTCTGTGTGTGCTCAATTTATTTCTTCATCTTGCAGTGGGCCTGCAACAGCAAAAATTGAGAAACTTACTTCCCATAGAAATTAAGCTGATTATTCAATCTATCTAACCTTTCAATTATCCTGAATTCTCAGCTCTGTATCCAAGCAAAGTTCATTGCCACACTGACTAAAATGATAAATGTCACTGAAAAGCCAATGGTAGCATCACACACTATAACAATAATACATTTTATCTGACTTATCTTCTTCATGTGAAGTAGATTTTAGCAGAATACCTTTCTTTAACTGAAACTTCTCATTATTTTAATGCAGCGTTCATCATCTGAGTTTTTATAATAATAAAAAGAAGCAAAAAATCCCAGTACAATAAATTAATACTAAATGAGGAAATTCAATTCAATCTAGCTAAACTTTGATTGATTTTCTAACTGTATTACTGCCCATTCAATTAAGCTGAACATCTGCTCCAGAGGAAATCATATCATACGACTGAGACATGACCTCACATATTATCAAATCAGCAAAGGATAAGAGTCTAAGCATCTTCAAGAAATACACAGAAAGTAGTCGGAAAAGGTAGCAACAGAATCCTCTGTTTTTAACTCAGAAACAATATTCCGGATACCCGTTCCCCATGATTGTGCATATTATGTATCTACAATGATGTGTTTGTACAAACTTCATGCTGACTGACTCCCACAAGAGGAAGCAGCATTTGGAAAATTTCTAAATTGTAACTTGTTTGTTTGTCTAAAGGCTAATGACTTCACGGGCTTGTCTCAGTCAGAAGTATAATCCCACGGAGGCACAACAGGGGCATTTGGCCCCCAGGAGCCTGTGGTTAAGGGGAAGCTGCTGAGGCTTTTTAACATTGGCTGGAAGTGAGGAACCGTCTGCCCACCCCTGCCCTATCTGTGGATGAGAACATAGCCCCTTCTCTGCTCAAAACCCTGCAATGCTACTTTCTATGCTCAGATGAAAGCCTCAGCTCCCCCTTGGTCCCTCCATCCCAGGCCTCCCTCAGCCAGCCTCCTTGCTGGCCTCACACACACTAGGCAGAATCATCTTTATGGCCTTGCATTGGCTGTTCCCCTGACTGGATGCTCTTCCCCCAGATGGCCTTGGACTAACTCCTTCTCTTTGAAGTTTTTGCTTAAATGTTACCTCAGTAAAGTCCCTGATTATTCCATCTGCCCAAAAGGACACACAAGCCCCCTTTCTGTGCTCAAATTTACATTTCCCCTAGCATTTATATTATACCAGAGGCCCAACGCATGAATTTGTGCACCATGGGGTCTCTTGGCCTGGCCTGCAGGATTGGGCCGAAACTGGCTCTCTGACATCCCCTGAGGGGCCCTGGATTGCAAGAGGCTGCAGGACAGGCTGAGGGACCCCACCGGTGCACAATTGGGGCAGGGGAGGGACACAGGAGGTTGGCCAGATAGGGAAGGATCGTGGGAGGGCTTCAGAGTGTGTCTGACCCATCTCCCTCAGTCCCGATCGGCCAGACCCCAGCAGCAAGCTAACCTACTGGTTGGAGCACCTACCCCCGGTGGTCAGTGCACGTCATAGCGACTGGTCAGCTGGTCTACTGTCTGCCCCCTGGTGGTCAGTGCACATCATAGAGAGCAGTTGAGCGGCCTTAGCATATCATTAGCATATTATGCTTTGGTTGAATGGATGACTGGGCGACTGGACACTTGGCATATTAGGCTTTTATTATATAGGATAATTTATTTACTAGGCTTTTGTTTATTTTCTCTTTCCATTAAAAATATTAACTCCATGACACTGGGGATCTCTGTCTATTTGTTGATGTATCCCAAGCATCCAGAAGAGAGTGTCTGGCACACAGTAGATGCTCAGTGAACCCTTGATGAATGAATGAATGAATAGCAAATAGGTACCTAATTAAGGTCTGCTATCAGAGAGATTAATTAAAAGCAATATATAATAATGATAATGTACATTTTATGATGCACCCAAAGCATACATTTATTGAGTGCATACTACACATTAAATATACTCTAAGCATTTTACATGGATAATCTCATCAAATGCTCATGACAATCCCACAAAGCTGGTTGTCTATGTTTATTCTGATTTCATGGTCATTGTTACAAAGTGATGGAGCTGGATTTAACCCCACACGTGTGGGCTCAGGACCCCACACTCTTAACCGCTGGAATCACCTTCACCCACCAGGCACTGGGCTTTCCCACCATTCCCCTTCCTGTGGACACAGGCTCCAGGTAGTGTAGCAATCAGCTTCCCATTTATTTTCTGGATATTTGTTAAAGTGCTTGCATTGGTGCTTCTATGATCTGCACATCTGAGATCATAAAGTTATTTCTATTCGCAAGATGTGCACTCACAGTTATAAAGTGGACCCAAAGATTAGGGGGGACAGCAGATCTAACAGCGGACACCAAGCTCAGCATGACTAGTGTTGAGTGCTGCTGAGTGATGTGAGGGTAATTCCAGAGATGAAGGTGGGGTTCCTGAGTGGGAAGGAACCAGGGAGACAATCGGAAAGTCCTGGAGGATTCACCAGCAAGCAATTACACTGCTGTGAAAAAGAAGGAATTCTTACCATTTGCAACAGCACGGATGGAACTAGGGAGCATTATGCTAAGTGAAATAAGCCAGTCAGAGAAATATAAATATCACATGTTCTCACTCATTTGTGGACTATAATGAACAACATAAACTGATGAACAAAAATAGAACCAGAGACATAGAAGCATCGAACAGTCTGTACAACCTAAGAGGGAAGGTGGGGGGTGAGGGGGTAAGAGATCAACCAAAGGACTTGTATGCATGCATGCGAGCATAACCAATGGACACAGACAGTAGGGGGGGTCAGGGCTTGTGCTTGGCGGAGGGTGTGGTGGGGGAGAGATCAATGGGGGGAAAAAGGAGAGTCATGTAATACTTTAAACAATAAAGAATTTTTTTAAAAAGAGTACACAAGGAATTTTTAGGTCTTGTTCTTTGCTGCAAAGTGAGAAAAAAAGCATGCATTGTATTCATCCTTATAGGAAGACAAGCAGATTAGTAAGCATTAATAAACAGAAACACCCAAAGCAGAACATCTTAGCTTTGACAATAAGAGGTTTGCAGAACTATCGCAGTTAATTTTTTGCTAATTTTCTTTCTCTGCTCAAGAAATTAACTGGCATTAATTCTTAAACCATAATATAAAATACATGCCAGTACATGAACAATTAGAAATATGCAGCTGAGAGGTCAGGGCCATGTGCAGCTGTGAAATTTATTTCTTTTAATATATTTTTATTGATTTCAGAGAGGGAGAGAGAGATGGAAACATCAGTGATGAGAGAATCATTGATTGGCTGCCTCCTGCACACCCCACACTGGGGATGGAGCCTACAACCCAGGCACATACCCCATCCGGGAATTGAACCGTGACCTCCTGGTTCACAGGTTAACGCTCAGTCACTGTGCCACCAGCCCGGCTGTGAAATTTATTAATGCAGCTATTCCCTAAACTAAGTTTAGAAATGAGCAGGAATCTCATTTCTTTTTAAAAGCAGCATCTGCTCCACCCACCTGGCTTGTGCAGCCTCCGCTCAAGGCACCAGGAGTCATGCAGAGGGTAAATGCTCTCTGGTTCCTGGTTCCATCAGGAGACCTTGAATAGGTCAGGATGTAAGGCCGGTCTATGATTTAAGGTGGATGAAGTACTAGTAAATATGCCGTGATGAAGTGAATGACTTTGACCTTCCTGTTCCTAGGGCCCCATCGATATTGTCCATGAAACAACTGAACTACAGATCATAGAAGGAGGCAGCATTTGTTAGAAGGGGAGTAGGTAGGAGTGTTGTTGGGTTTTGTCTTAATAGTAAACCATTAGATGCAGCAACTACTGACCCATGGAAGTTAAAGAAAATTCATTCAAAACGGAAGCCCCATTTCACACTCCCAGGAACAATTTTTAGCACATTTCCGCCCTGGCATGAGCTTCCTGCGGTTGTTCAGATACCATGAGGCATAGCTCTGATACTAAGCACTGGCCGGGCATTATCTGGACACTGAATTCAGCAAAACTCTGTGAGCTTGTGGGTTTTAAGTAAAAGAAATAAAAAACTGTAAGTCCAGAAAGTTCCTAAGAGCCGCAAACTGGTTATTGCCATGTTGACAGTTTTCCTTCAGAAGAAAGCTTGTGCTGCCCTTGGGCTCACGCTATTTCCTTGGAATTTGCATTCTCTCTCCTAAGTGACTGGGGAAAGTTCTGCGTGACTTGGACAGAGAAATGGGGGAGAAGGGTCCCCCGGCTCTCACCGGTGCCCAGAGGAAGGGAAGTTGGAAGTTGAATGACCGCACCTGCAGCTCCAGATTCCCGAGTGGCTGTCCTGGGAAGGAGGTGCCAGGCGCTGCGGGGATGTTAGGATGGCACCAGGGGGAAGAATTGCTGGGAACTTGTTTACCGAGAATTTGCTTTATGCCAAGCACCGTGCTTGCTTGGTACCTGAGGTAGACTCTCCCATCCCTTCTCACGGCTGTTCCTGGAGGTAAGCATGGTGACGGCGACCGTCCTGCAATCTGCTGCACATGTGGAGGCTGAGGGCGTGGCAAGCGGGGCACAGTGTGAGCTCAGTGGGGAAGTCCCTGCTCTGGCTTCGTGCTGGGCCTCCTGCCAGGCGTTTTACTCGGGTGATCGGATGAATCTTCACCACAATCTTCTGAAGTCAATAGCATTGTCATTCTTTCCATTTCACACTGAGGTTCAGGCACAAGAATCTGATTCAAGACCTTGCAGCTGGCTGGCGGTGGGGCTGGGATTTGAACCCACATCTCTGTCTCCAGAGCCCCTGCTCTTAATTACTATGTCATGTCCCCTTCCACACACAGACTTTATTTACTGAAAAATGATCCCTCCTGCACCTGCTACCCTGTTCACCTGCTACCCTGGTAACAAAGCTACTTTCACCAGGAGGATCACACAATTAGTTTCCCCTGAAAAGCGAAAAGCCCAAAGGAACCTTGGGAAGCAAGGATGAGGAAGTCTCAGGCGATGGAATGAACGCGCCCTTCGCGCGAGAGAGGGTGAGGCTGATGAACGCGCTGAAAACTAAGATGGTCAAAGTGACGGGGAGGAAACGTGTGGGCTCACTGCCCCTGGGTAGATGTTGTCGCCAGGCCACCACCCGGGAAGACAGACTGAGCGGCAGCCGGCTCGCCAGCCTGGGAGCGCAGCCACAGGGACGGGAGAGCTCACGCGCCTTTGATTCGGAGGGATTCGCACCTTCCAGTTGCCCAATAGAACAGTGGCGTTCCCACCCAGACTTAGTCTTCCAGGCAGGACTAGTGCAGTGGCCCCCCGTCCCCATCCATGGGCTATATCTTCCAAGACCCCCAGTGGATGCCTGAACCACGGATAATCTAAAGTAAACTATGATTTTCCTATACATAATACCTATAACAAAGTTTAATTTATAAGTTGGGCACAATAAGAGATGAATAATAACTAATAATAAAATAGAACAATGATAACAATATTCTGCAATATAAAGTATTTGGATGGCTTTGGAGCCATTACTAACTAAAATAAGTTACTTCAACAGGAGCATCACAATATGGTGACAGTCAGTCTGATGACTGAGATGGCTCCTAAGTGACTAACGGGCAGGTAGCGTATGCAGCGTGGATATGCTGGACAAAGGGACGATTTCTGTCCCACGCAGACGGTGCGAGATTTCATCACGCTGCTCAGAATGGAGTGCGATTTAAAACATATGAATTGTTTATTCTGGAATTCTCCATTTAATATTTTTGGAGCACACAGTTGACCACGGGGAATTGAAACTGTAGAAAGCAAAACCGTGGACAAGGGAAACTACTCCACCTCCTGGTATTGACCCTTTCATACCGGTGAGGGGATATAGCAGCTTACAAGTGGCCAGATGCCCATTCTGAGCTGCCGGAATGAAACCAGGATAAGGAAAGGCTTAGCTAGGCCTTCCTGGGTGTAGCTAGCACACCTATTTAGAGGCCTCTAAGTTTCATTAAAAGACTGGTGTCCCTGGCTTTTCAGAAGATGCGAACATGATCATCACTCCAAGTTGAATGAGAAGATATAAGGTAGGGGAGAAAGGAACTAGAACAAGATTTGCGGCAGGGTGACCACTGAGAAGAAAGGAAGAGAAAATTGTGTTCAGAAGTTCTGAATGTTTCTGGGTCCACTAAATCTCAAAGTAAATACATTGTTACTTCCCCCTCATCTTCCTGATAATCACCATCCCAAAGCCTTTGGTAGGGTCCAACCCAGGAGGCATATGTGTGAGGGTAGGGTAAAGGGAGCCACCGTGGCCCAGAGTGCGGTGAGAAGGACATCTGAGTGGGAGAAGAGATGCTCGCAGAATATTGAAACCAAATCAATATTTGGAAGATAGAAATATAAGGTCAGGAAGAAATATATGTCAAAACCCGTGGGTTCCAATGGTTACTTTTAATTTCAGCATCTGGGAGTTTAACATTTCACAGCTGGAACAGAGACGTGTGGTGCTGAGGCCCAAGAGAATGGGTTTAGATTGCTAAGTTAGATTAGAAGAGAGGAGTGTTGGCAGTGGGATGTCAAACTGAGAGACCAAGCAGTTGGATGCGTTGTCTGTGTTGTGGCCTGTAAGTTCTCGGAGGTGTTCTTGGAAATGGAGATCGGTATAAGAGTCTTCAATGAATTGGGACAGGTTTAGAGAAGGACAAAAGATGATAGTGGTGGGTGGGTGATGGAGAATGGGATGGCTAAGGGGCATAAATCTTGAAGGACAGATAGTATTGGAGAGCAGGAAAGTCAAAACCCTGAAGCAGCAAGAATGCCAATCCCACCTCAACGCACCGATACACACTGGGGTACGTGGGATGTGGGAGAATCTAGAGGCTGCAGTGAATGGCCAGATCTCAGCCCAAACCTGTACACACACTGGATCTAGATGCTGCATTTATACTTTAACATTATAATATAAGCATTCTCATAAACTTAATCTTAATATCTGTTTAACATTTAATTTAGTGAACATTCATGACATTTTTGGTCAATTACCCTTATCGTTTGTATTGGGTTGTTTCAAATTTTTCTCATTATAAACAATGAAGAAATGAGCATAATTTTGACTAATTGTTTTTCTTTTAGCAATCATGATTATTTCATTTAGATAGTTTCCCAGAAGTGGAATTTCTACCTTAAACCCTGGGAACAATTTTTAGGCTCTTGACAATTATTTTTCTATACTCATCTGCCCCAGCCCTGGAACTAGCCATTTCTCCAAGAATTCCTGGTTCCTTTAGTGGAGAATAATATTCACACGCCAAGACCTGGGGACTAGATGTGTTCATGGAATTGGAATAGCACTATTGTCATATCCTCCATTGGACAGAGATAGGGAATTATTGTATGCATGAGTGTATATGTGTATGTAATATATGCATTCATATGCATACACATTTACATCTATATTTATTTCTATATCTACCTATATATATCAGAAATCATGGGTTCACATAGTTACCTTTCATTTTAGGCCAACATGTGTTTAGATATTTAGAACTCCCTCCTTTGGCAGCGAGAAGTCAGGCTGCCATTATACTAAGAGTTTAAGTCCTCTCCGCTTCCCCTCATCCTCTTCTGCAATTAGACTCCCTTCAAGTTGATTCTCTAATTCATCAGGTATGTAGAAACCACAGGTTGGACTTAATTTGTGAGCCTTCATTGCACCGAAGGAAACTTTTAAGTATTTTTAAATTTATGTGTTTTTTTACTGATGCTTGTGTCATTTTAATTATAAATGTTATCTAATGCTGAGAGGCTATTCAGCACCAATAATTAAAATTGAGAGAAAGTGAGTTGATCCTTTAATGTCATGCAGAATATTGGTGATAGTGTCCATTTAATTTCTTGCTTTATTGCTGATTATGAGTTATATATGAGAAATATGTGGATAATATCATCTATATGAAAGTCCTCTTTTGACTAACTAAATATTATATAATTTTTTCAATGTATGTGAGGCAAAAGATGGGTTTCATTGTAAAAAATGTAAGTAAAACAAATATTTTATATTTTATAAAGAAAAACCTGAAAAAAATGAGTTTCAAAAATTTTTTCCTAAAGAACTCTAGTTAAGATGGCCCATGAGCCATAAGGTGCTGGGCATTTGGATTGAAAGTTGGTGTCTCCGATTAACTTTTAACAAAGATTTTCACTTCAGTTATCCAAAAGAACAGATGTTGTTGTAAAGCTTTGAAAACCCAAAAGGTGTGTTCTCGTTTTACTAGCAACAACATTAATGCTTCTTTAAAATACTGGGGACCTTCGCGGGGTCACTTCGTAAGTTCTATAAATGTGTAACCACTATGCTGGAGCCCTGAAACTATTTGTACTATTGACAACTATAATTGAAAAATAATGTTTTAAATGAAATAAAATCCAGGGGCCAATAATTCACATTAGTTCTTGAATACATATTTCTTAATTTTCAAAGAAAATCTCATAATGTTTTCTTTTTTAAAACTAAAGACCATTAGAATTCAAGGATAAAACAGACAGCAGGCTGAGTCACAAAGCGTTTGGAAATCCCTCCCCAGCATTCTGACCTTTTGTCGGTGACGTCATAATGTCCCGGCTACTTACAGGACCTGCCGGCAACTGGAAGGAAACTCCGAGAGACACAGGACATTGGTGATCAATCACATCGTCCCAATGAATTTCATATTGTTTATTTTTTTATCTGGGGTTCATTCCTCAGAGATTAGTGATGTGACTTCCAATAATGAAGGTGGGTAAGCATGGGAAGCTTTCACAGACATAATAGATAAGGAAGATGACCCCATTATCCTAGAAAATTGACGTGTAGCAATTTTATTGTTGGAAATATGGTACAATTTAGAAGTGAAGTCTCTGCCTCCAATCCTTTGTGGAAAAAATGAAAGTCCTTCAAAGAAATTAACAGCCTCAGAGGGATGGTTCTGTAACTAGGAGGGTCACAGAGGGAAGTTTGACCATGGATTGTGGATTCCCAAGGACTAGTAGGAACATTTGGAAGGGAAGGGAATTATGGGAGGCTGGGTGAAGGCCTCATCCACTCCCTGCCGCTTCCCAGAGCAAGGGATGAATGGAGTAATCCATTCTCTGCATTTGCTGCATTGCCCAAGCATTGATCTGGGATTTTTTTTTTCTTCTTAGCTCTTGACGCTTACCCAGCCTGACCTTTTGTCAGGAAGAATTAGAGATGCTAATTAAAAGTAGCTGTGAATACCCAGAGGAGTCTTAACACTGAACTCCTTGGGGATTTGGGAAATGAAAAGAAGTCAACCAAAAAGATACTTCATCAGGGATGCAGAGGAACAGGGGTTTGGGATAGAATGGCTGCAGCCTCTTGCTGCTGGAAAAGAGAGCAAGGGACAGTGTGTGGTTTGGGGCTGAAAAGCCTATAACTTATAAAGATGGACCTCAGATGGTCCCAATCGCTCAGATGGAAGGTGTTTCATGGCCTGGCAATCTGGCCGTGTTCTGCTATATCTTGTTTTCAAAGAAGGGTCCAGTCCTGCTCTGTCCAAAATGGTAGCCATCAGGTGCGTGTGGCGATGGAGCGCTTGCAGTGTATCCAGTCTGAATTGCAATGCACGGAAGGTACAAAATACATGCTGGACTTCAAAGGCTTAGTATGGGGGGGAAAAAAAGCATGTAAAAATGTCTTACTAATAATTATTTTTATTTTATTTACTCGTTGAAATGATGTCCGGGATATATTTATTGGGCTAAATAAAATACTTTATTAAAATTAAAAAAAAAAGAAATTAACATATGTCTGATGTACGGTGTGTCATACTTTTTTTCAGAGGTTTATGTGGAACCTCTAGTTGATGAAGAACATAAAGAAGAAATTAAGCATAACATCCCTTATAATGATAAAAATGACCATCATTTTAAAGAGGAAAAAAACTGTAAGTATTTAAAGTTAATAGTAATACATCTATGAGAACTGATTATATTGGTTTGATTTAACTTTTTTAAAAACTATAATCACATTATTTTCTACTTCTTAAATTAACCTTATAGACAGGTCAGTGTGTAAAATGAAATTTTTAATTTCTGCAACTTTTTCCTGAGATGTTACGAAGTTTAACAAGGTTATCTTGGTAATTGTCTATAATTAACATGGGCTCCATTGTAGCATTATGGTTACTTATTCACATGAGTAACAACTAACTTAATTCTATGGTGAGATAACCAGAATTTATTTGGAGTTGTGTATGAGTTTCCTCGGGCTGCTAAAACAAAGTGACACAAACTGTGTATTCTCTCACAATTCCAGAGGCCAGAAATTGAAAATCAAAGTTTTGACTCTACCACGTTCTCCCCAAAGTCTTTAGGGGAGGGTCCCTCCTGGCCTCTTCCAGCTTCTGGTAGCTCCAGGCATTCCTTGGCTACTATGGTAGCAGAACTCCAATCTCTGACTCATTTTCACGTGGCATTCTTCCTCTATCACTGTGTCCAAATTTTCTTCTTTTCATAAGGATACCATTTATATTGGATTAAGAGCTCACCCTGTTCCAGTGTGACTTCATCTTAACTAAATCTCCAATGACCCTGTTTCCAAACTGCGTCATATTTGAGGTTCTGGGGGTTAGGACTTCAACCCTTTTTTTTTCCGGGGTAGGGGGAGTGACAAAATTCAACCCATAGAAGATGACTTTAAGGTGTGTGGGGGGCCCAATTAATTTTATTCACCATTCCTCATATGGGCTTTCTCTCTATGTCTTTATAACGGCTACCATTCTAAAAAGTGAAAAGTTCCTAAGAAACTCTTTATAAAAATTCTTTTAAATTAAGATTAAATCTAGTTATTCTGGGTTCTTTATTAGTATTAATCAAAGAAAAATAGAAATACATATACAATGAAGTACTTTGAAAACTACAATCCATAAATTGTAATTCTTTGATGAATTATTGTCCCTCTTTTAAATGTAAAAAACAAAACAAAACAAAAAAAACACAACAAAACAAAAACACCTGGTGCTCAGAGAGGTGGTTCATTGCTACCACAGAGCGAGTCAGGAGTGATGTCACATCTTCCACCACCAGCTGCCTCTGCTGTGCCCTACAGGGTGCAGTCATTCCTTTTCAGGATGTACCTCCATTTGAATTAACCGGAGGACAAATAACTCAAGAGCCTGATGATTACTTTGAGTAAAGGAAAAAGTCTGTCTTACACACACACACACATTTATCTAAAATATAAATGGAATTGTGGTGAAGAATGGTCTTATGACTGACTTTTCTCCTTTAATAGCTTTGGAACTATTTATCCACTATCTTACAAAGAATTAAATGATGGGCAGTTTCTCCCATGTATGCTCTTCTCAGACACTCTTGGGTGTATCTCTCTTTGGATAGATACCAAGTACTGGAATTGCTGAATAAATGACAAACCCTTTAAAATATTGGTAGATATCACCAAATTGCCTCAAAAGGTACCTACCAAATTGTATCTCCCAAGAGTGCTCCCTAATCTCACTTACAATAATAGTGTTAATCATATTTTTTGAATAAGTGAGAAACTTTATTAGTGTTTTTAATTTGCATCTTGATTACTTGTGAAGTTGAGTATTTTTCTCTGTATTTATTGGGCATTTAATTTCAACTTCTGTGATTTGTCTGTTTTTATCTTTGGCTCATTTTTTTATTAGATTATATTTGTAATATAATCTTATCACTTATTTGTAAGAGATATTTGGAATGGAGATATATTAACTTTTTCTCTAAAGTAAAAGTAACAAGTATTTTCTTCCAGGCTGTGGTTTATCTTTAAACTTATTTAGGTATATTAATCACAGAGAAAAATTTAAACTTTATAAAATAAATTTTTAATTCCTTTATAATTTCTGCATTTTGTATCTTGCTTAGATGGACCTTATCCAAATAGGTGTTAAAATATTTTCCTAGTTTTCTTAAGTTTTATATTTTTGTTTTTAACTCTTGGGTCTTAAATTCAGTTATTTTTGTGACATAAAATAGGCATAAAATTTACATGTTTCAAGGGTAATTGCCAAATGTATAACACCAATTCCCTACTCATGTGAAACTCACATTTAATATAAACTAAATTCTCATTGAAATTTAGTTAGTTATTCCCTTTTTGTTTTTCTGATCTGTCTGTCTCTGCAAAAATACCACATTATTTTTTGTTATTGCTGTTAATCTTGACCTGAGGATATTTTTTTCCATTGATTTTTATTGTTTTAGAGAGTGGAATGGAGAGAGACAGAGAGAGAAATATTGATGTGAGAGAGACACATCTATTGGTTGCCTCCTGCATGCACTCTAAACGGGCCTGGATCGAGCCTGCAACCATATGTGCCCTTGACCAGAATTAAACCCTTGATTCTTCTGTCCATGGGCCCAACACTCTAACCACTGAGCCAAGCCAGCTAGGACAAATACCACCTTATTTTAATCTTTATACTTTCATAACTCATAACATGAATATTGGGCTGCAATTTCCTTGTGTTCTCCATAGATCTAGCTCAGAAACTTCTAAAAATTTACATTAACAGCACTGGTGTGTGTGTGTGTGTGTGTGTGTGTGTGTGTGTGTGTGTGTGTGTGTGTGTGCGTGCGCACACACACACACTCATGCATATGTGTGTGTTCTGGGGGGAATATATATATAGATACATATATATATATACACACACATATGTATTAAATATGTATACATTCACGTATATACAATTTTCTGTCATTCCATGGTATTTTGGAAAGAGAAGATGTATATATATGTTTAATCAGCCATCTTTATCCAATTTATTTGACTCGGGTTGGGTGGATATGTCCATTAGTTTTGCATTATAACTAATTCCACTTACAATAATGAAAGCAGGATCCTTTCTGTGCATATGCCAATGTGAAGGTATGTAGGCGACCTTGATTGTTATTGAAGTATATGCTTTTTAAGCGGAACTGCTTCATAGTCTAACAGAAGATTCAGGGGCAAATGAGTGTTTCTTACTTGGCTTTTTCCCCCCTGTCTAAAAAATATTTATTTTTATTGATTTTTGAAAAAGAGAGAGAGAGAAACATCAATAAGTAGCTTTCTATATGTGCCCCAATCGGGAATCCAACCCACAACCTGGGCATGTGCCCTGATCAGGAACGAACCAGCATCCCTTCAGTACATGGGACAACACTCAACCAACTGAGCTACACCAGCCAGGCCTTACTTGGCTTTCTGATAATGTCAATACAGTGATAATATTACACATCTACAAATCTACTTTGGTACCTGTTATGCACTTAAATATGTTTTTCCATAAATTCTCCAATAATTTCTTCTCAGAAAGTCATTTAGCAAAAGGATACTAATTTGGCTTTTTTCCCCATGGATTTTATTTTTGACCTTTGCCCACTTCCTTATTTTGTAGGTGAAGAATGTCACAAATATTTTATTATTCTTTTTTTAAAAAAAACTAGTCACTGCATATGTTCTTTAAAAAATCAGATATGAAGAATGTCACAAATATTTTATTATTCTTTTTTTTAAAACTAGTCACTGCATATGTTCTTTAAAAAATCAGATGATGAAAAATGTAAAGAAACAAAAAGTCTAAACTTGGCTGGCGGCTGAAAACTTTTGTCTTATGCTTTTAGATGTGTTCACAACCCAGACTCCAACTGGCTCCCAGTCTGAAATATCCGTGAAAGCAACAACTGCTGTGGATTTTTCTCTAAGAAACTGTAAGTATTGAAAGGCACCAGTGCAAATATGAACATCCCTTAAAACAATATTTCAAAACAGCATTAGAGTGTTGGGTAGGAAAAAGATCTTATTGGCGCTAATGTCAGAAGTCTTCATTCCTAAATAAGGACACTCGTGTCTATTGCACTGAGAAATTCTGAAGGCAGGGAGGTTCTTACATTTTTTTTAGACTATTTTGGGTTTGCATGGAAATAAAAACTAAATAACTAAATTTAGGACTAGAATATTGTATGTCTTTCTTCAACCCACATTTTTACTCCTTTCTGCTTTATACCTTCAGCTTCAAACATTGTTTCCTTTTGCACCTTTCCACCAAGCATAACTATTTGATAGATGACTTTGGAGGCCATTAAATCTCCTAATGCATATAACACATCTATTACTTCAGCATGTGACAGCTCAGATCTACGAAACACATAAGCCACAAAACAGAATTACAAGGAAAAGGGGATGGAAGTCAATATGGAAGAGAGGATGTTTCTGGCAATGGCATTTCAATATTGGTGAATGACAGACTCCATAAGCCTACTTATTAAATAAAGCCACATGACAATAATGGGATATTTTTGAGCAGTTTCAAACCTCGGGACATAACTGAGAGGGGGACATTTCAAGGGCATTCACTAATGAGCCAGCTGACTCGTGGGAATTTTGCTCCTACAAGTAAACAAGCTCTTGAGTTGTTTGGGACAAGACATAGAAAAGAGAGGCGGTTGAAGAAAACAGACCACGTACCTCAGATTCCCTTAGGAGATGGATTATTGAGGGCCAGGGAAGAGAGTCCAAAACCCTAACTTATATTCCTGCAATTCAGGTCCCCAAAGGATTGTCAGAGAAAGTTGGATAGGGACCAGTTGTTCCATTTAAGCAGGGCTCTGACAGAGGGAGACAGGCTGACATGGACGGGATGCTCCAGAGGAGCAAGCCCCCCCTCCCTCAAGATTAAATCTCCAGAAGTATGTTGAATAATTCTGCTAGTCCAAAAATTCCGAGGGCAAGTAGCGGAAGCAGTCCAGACACGTTTTTTCCAGAACCGAGGAAGAGGGTTGCAGAGTTTAAGGATTTCTGGCCACTTGTTCTAGTCCTGCCTGTATCAGTGTCAACTCCGGTAACAATCTCTTTTTCCATCCTTTCTTGCCACCAAGATTCCTGTAACGGTGTTGTTTGCAGGCTTCGTCCGAATTCATTCTGTCTCTGTAGAACTCCTCCCGTGGGGGGACTGCCTGGACCGCTTATGGAACTTGATTGACTCCTGTATTAAGCAAAGTTAACTGAAATTTCAGGCCAACTTCATGGAGGAAAGTATGGTCCTCCAGTCACAACCGTCCCCAAATACACTCTTACTGACATAGCTCCAGATGGACACATGATCGCCTGAGATATGCACTCAATCAGACCTGAAAACCCTTGATTTGTAGCCCCACATCTTTATATCCAAAGTCCTGTCTTGAGTAGTAAACATGCATATGTTTCCAATTTACAAGGAAAATGTTGCTGCCTCCCTTTACCAGACTGTCCTGGGCTGACGGTATCACTGCAAGGCGTGGGCTGGAACCATCTGAGACAGTGTGTCTGATCCAGTAGGCCTTCCTCACCTCTGGTTGTGGGCCAGAATCCCACAAAACTATAGGCGTATGAATCCCACCTCACACAACAATTTTACCTTTTCTTTCCCCTGCTTTGAGTTACCTCAAAAAATTGTCAACATCTTTCTGGGATTTTTTTCCCCCTCTCTCCTTTTCTTTGTTCCACTTTTTAGCTTAAAAATATGCCTAATCACAGATGTGGAGTCAATATTTTAATATGCTGATAACCCACTTATCCCTTTTCCTAGATAAACTCAATGAGACATCTGGAACACCCAGTGAAGAACCCTCCATACAAAGAATTCCAAGTACTAAAGTTACTACACTGTAGTCATACCTGGAGCATGTCATTATATGAGTAAAAATTTAAGTTTCACTACGCTGAGTATTTCATAAAATAATAGCATGCTTAAAGAACTTGTACTCTACAGTTCAAAGTCACTCTGAAATCTTTTTAAAATAATTTTTTTTATTGGTTTTAGAGAAGAAGAGAGAAATATCTATACTAATAAAAGGGTAATATGCTAATTAGAGTGGACGTCTTCCAGATGACCTTCTGGACATCCTTCCGGACAAAGGCGCAGCAGCTGCGAAGGGCCGAGGCTCAGGCCGCCAGTGGCAGCAGCAGTAGGGAAATGGGGGTGGTGCCTTCCCCTGATCTGCCAGGTCACCTCCCGCAGAGGGAGGCTAGACTGAGGCTTAGGCCAGGGGCCGAGGCAGAGGCGGTTATGGGCGATCAGGCTAGCAGGGGTCAAATTAGGAGGGCAGAGGTACTTAGGGGCAATCAGGCAGGCAGACAGAGGGGTTAGGGGAGCTAGACTGAGGCTTAGGCCAGGGGCCAAGGCAGAGGCGGTTAGGGGCGATCAGCCTAGCAGGGGTCTAGTTAGGAGGGCAGAGGTATTTAGGGGCTATCGGGCAGGCAGGCAGAGGTACTTAGGGGCAATCAGGCAGACAGACAGAGGGGTTAGGGGCAATCAGGCAGGCAGGCAGAGGAGTTAGGGGCAATCAGGCAGGCAGGCAGGTGAGCGGTTAGGAGCCACTCTAGTCAATAGATAAGAGTACTATCTGACTGTCGGTTTAGGCCTGATCCTACAGGGGTCCCAGATTGGAGAGGGTGCAGGCCAGGGTGAGGGAGGCCCCCCCCACCCCGTGCACAAATTTTGTGCACCAGGCCTCTAGTCAATAGATAAACATTGATCAGTTGCATCCCACACGCACCCAATCTGGGACCAAACCCGTAATCTGTGCATGTGCCCTAACCAGGAATCAGGACAACACTCAGCCAGCTGAGCCACACCATCTAGGGTGCTAAAATATTTTAAACCATGAAAATCTAAGGGTCAATTTTCAGATGTATTTGACATGGGGTAGAAAATGAGCTCTTTTTATAATACAATTTTATTTTAATAAAATATATCAAATTTATATTTATGCATATATTTATGTTAAATGTATTTATATTTAACATAAATACATAATTATATATTTCACATAAATATATATAAATATTTAATACATTTTAATATAATTTTTTTAATTCTCACTTGAGGATATTTTTCCATTGATTTTTGGAGAGAGTGAAAGAGAGAGGGAAAGACAGAGAGAAATATCAATGTGAGAGAAACACACCAATTGGTTGCCTCCTGCACAGCCCTGCCAGGGCCTGGGCCAGGGAGGAGCCTGCAACCAAGGTACATGCTCTTGACTGGATTCAAACCCGGGACTCTTCTGTCCACAGGCCGATGCTCTATCCACTAAGCCAAACTGGCTAGTGCTTACTATAACTTTTAATAATTACATAAAAATTTCTACCTGCTTGAGAAATAAACTTTTCTCTGCATAGAGGCAATGATTAGTGTTTCCTAAGATTATCTGGGGAGGTGGGATTGTGAGTAAGAGGCTGCAAAATAAAAAATAATCATTTTACTTTCCTGCCAAAAATATTGTCCCTTATAAAATATTTGTGAAACCATAACAACCCAGGAAGTCTTGAGTGAGTGGTCTAATTGAGGACAATGGACCTGTTGTTACATGAAACTATTTTCTCCAGTTCATGCAATAATATGATTACCCTAAATTCATTTGCATCTTTAACACCACTAAACATAAAAACCTTTAATCAGCTTTTGATATGTTTAAAAATAGAAATCTGATCATGCTGGTATTTTACTTCTTCAATATCTTTAGTCATTTGCACTAAAGTTTTAGTTTACTAAAAGTAAATGAAGAAGAAAATACTAAAGAACCATGTAGAAAGAATATTCAAAATTTTAAAGTTACAGCACTGTAGGCATACCTAGAGCATATCATTATATGAGTAAAAATTTAAGTTTCACTACTTAAATTTGGGGTCACATTCTAACCTCTAACTGGGCAGTCAAGTCTGACGTGACCTGAACATTAAAGAACGTTTCAGTCTCTTCCCTGGTCACACGCCCCATCCACGTTCTTCATTTCAGACTTCCTGAAGCTCCGAGAGCTTGCCCAACCTGTTATGGTTCTGAGTCTGCTCACAGTGGAATGACCTCCCTCTGAACCTGTTTGCCTGGCAATGTCTAGTCCTCTGCACCTGTATTAAAGCACCATCTCCCCTTTGAAGGGTTTCCAGCTTTTGCAACTTGATTTTGGTCCCTCCATGAATACCATCTGTGCGTTTCCTTTAACACCCTCCTTATCCTACAACATAATAAGCAGTGATTCCTGTCTGCTTTCAAAATCAAGTGTGTTTCTTAACCATTAAGACTGGTGTTCATTTCTGTCACTTCAGTGCCAACTGCAGGTCTGGTACATGGTAGGAGCTCAAGGTGTAACTATTAAATGACTAAACTAACAAGTGAAGGAATGAATGTTCTGACACAAATTTACTAAAGCCAAATTATCTTATTTTGTCAAACTGTTCTATTTTGTTTTTTAAACAGAAACAACCGAGGTTCCAAATGAGCCTGCATTTTGGACAATGTTAGCTAAAGGTAAACTCATAGTAGTTAGGTAACTGGGAAAACGATTTCTTTTCTGTTCCAAATCTTATGTAAGAAAGCCAAGATCAATGTAAATAGTTCCAATACTAAGAATAAATGTCAACATTTTGCTGCCATCATCACCTGTAAATGCAAAACATATCCAGAAGGTTGATCAAGTGTTAGCTTTTTCTGATTCTCCTCCCAAAAGTTTCATGCTCCTACAAATGTTGCAATCAATTTTTTTAAGATTAAAAAGTTTAAATAAGGCTCTTGCCCAATATAGCCCCTCTTTGTGTTAGGAGCAGCATGCACCTAAGCACGTGGAGATGTATGAATAAATGCAAAGTACCTATCAAAATATGTGCATGCATAAAATGAATGTATACATCATAAATAGTTAAGCATGCATTATAAACATGTGCATGTCATATATGTATTACATTTTTACTGTAGATGCACACATATATAAATGTAATATCACACACATATATGCATGCAATAGAAATGTAAGACATATGCCATATTCAGTCGATCTTCAATATTTGCATATTCTGTATTTGAGAATTTACCAACACCTAAGATTTGTAACCCCCAAAGCAATACTAGAACACTTTTGCAGTCATGTGCAGACATGCTCAGAGCAGCAAAACCTTTTAATTGCCCGTTGCTCACATGCCTAGCTGAGGTGGAAAAAGGCAGCATTCCGCCTTCTTTTTTCAGCTCTCATACTGTAAATACGTGTCATTTTTGTGGTCTATTTCATGCAACATGTATTTCGTGTTTTCTGTGGGTGATTATGCTATTTAAAATGGCCCCCACGTATAGCATTCAAGTGCTGGTTAGTGTCCCTAAGCACAAGACGGCTGTGATGTATACCTTATGGAGAAAACGTGTGTTAGATAAGCTTTGTTTAGCGGGAGTTATAGTGCGGGAGTTGGCTGTGAGTTCAATGTAATGAATCAGCCATATGTACTAAAATAAAGTGTCTTTAAACATAAACACACATAAAACAGGGCTTTGCATTGAATGGTGGGTGGAAATGTTGTGACCTCGCAGGATCCTAACCCTGTATTTCCTCTATATTATAAAAATAACTAGCATGAATAAATGAGAATAAACTGTAGATATCACACACGCACACAATGTTAGTAAGTGAATTTTGTTTCCCATAACACCAATTTATTGTTTTAACAGTTTTAAATGAAACAGTGCCGGAGGAAGAATCAAGAGATCAATTATTCCAAGCAATTCCAAGTAAGAACAAAATACTTCAATGAAATGAATGCATACGTGCCGGCACACATTTTAGGGCCTACGTGGTGACACTGTTTTCTGGTAAGGTGTATGTCAGAGGGGAGTGTGAAGGCTAACATGGTAGCAGAGCACACACTCCTGTTTTAGAAAAGTTGCGGATTTCAAGCATGCTCTCCAGTTACAGTACTGCATATACCTATTTATTTCTGTCTTCCTGTTTTGTAACTTCTATTCCTGAATCAGATAAACCAAATGGAGTAGGCAAGTGAAAAAAGTATAGAATGCAGTTTGCTTTTTTAATGAACAGACTTAGTTTTTAGAGTGATTTTAGGCTTACAGGAAAAGTGAACAGAAATTATAGAGAGTTCTCATATATTCCCCTGCTCAGTTTTCCTGCTTATTAACACTTTGTATTAATGTGGCACCATTTTTATAATTTATGAGCCAATATGGATGCATTATTAACTAAAGCCCATAGTTACACCCGGGTCCACTCTTTGTGTTCTAAATCTACGGGTTTTAACAAATGCAGATGTCACATGTCCACCATTACAGTCCCATAAAGAATAGTTTCCTTGCCCTAAAAATCCCCTGTGCTCCATCTGTCCACCTCTCCCTTGCCCAGCTCCTGACAACCACTGACATTTTCATTGTCTATACTTTTGCCTTTTCCAGAATGTTGAATGTTTGGAGACATACAGTACATAGCCTTTTTAGACTGGCTTCTTTTGCTTAGTAATCCAATATAATAAAAGGCTAATATGCAAATCAAACTGCAGAAAGACCCGTCGCTATGAGATACACTGACCACCACGGGGCAGGCGCTCAATGCAGGAGCTGCTCCCTGGTGGTCAGTGCACTCCCACAGGGGGAACTCTGCTCAGCCAGAAGACAGGCTCATGGCTGGCAAGTGCAGCGGCAGCGCTAAGGATGTCCTACTGATGGCTTAGACTCGCTCCCCGGGAGTCAGTCATCAGTCGGACATCCCCTGAGGGCTCCCAGACTGCAAGAGGGTGCAGGCTGGGCTGAGGAACCCCCTCCACCCGAGTGCATGAATTTTGTGCAGCGGGCCTCTAGTATGCACATAAGATTCCTCCATAGGTTTCCATGGCTTGATAGTTCATGTCTTTCCATCACTGAATAATATTCCTTCGTATGGATGTCCCAGTTTGCTTATCTAGTCACCTACTGGAGGACATCTCGATTGCTCCCAAGTTTTGGCAACAATGAATACATCTACTATAAACATTCAGCTGTAGGTTTTTGTGGGCACATACATTTTCAACTCATTTGAGTGCCCAGCGATTGCGCTTGATGGTTGTATGGTAAGACTATGCTTAGCGTTGTAAGAAACTACCAAACTGTCTTCCAAAGTGGCTACACCATTTTGCATCCTCACCAGCAATGAATGAGAGAATTCCTGCTTCTAAATGCAGTAACTTTCATTAATGGATTAATTATATTTATATGAGTACAGTAACGCCTGATTTGAATGAAAACATTCATGACAAGGCAATATATTAATGCTCCTCAAACATCTGTCTTGCAAATAAAGCATTGAAAAGAAATTGCATCTGGTCCTCTATCTTAGGCCTGTCACACCAGTTCTGCCCTGGATTATGTGAGGGGTACAGCCTCTTGCTTTCAGAGCTTCAAGAAAATGGAGGGAGGCATCTTTGTTCAGAAGAGCTAGATGGAGGAATGACAGATGCTGGGCCACTTGAGAAATATTGTCTTTTCTAGTAATTAAGTTAATTGAGCATGATTGATTTTTTTTTATCACATACTGAGTACATACTACATGCCAGTGCTTCACAGACATTATTATGTCAGTCCTCACAGCAACTCTGTGACGTTGGTATTATCTCCATTTTACAGATGAGAAAACTGAGGCTTGGAGGAAAACTCTGTTCAAACTTGCAATGGGAGTTTGCATAATTTCCAGTGGTCAGGAATTCCAAACCCTTCTCTAGTTTGGATCATCACCTTGACAAACAAGATGTACTATAAACACAGCTCTTTACAAAAGCCCTTTTAAGGAGTAGCAAAGCAATTCAGGAGCATGGTCCATTTTAATATTTGTTTGATTATTCCCAAAATACTCCTCAAAGTCAAAATCTCAGGCTTTGACAATTGTACACTGTTCACTCCACTCTGACAATTGTAATTTTTTTAAATCAGAGAATATAGACATGGAGCTTGTCATTGCTTATTACCAAAACATCATTATCTGGAAAATAATGAAAGCCTTTGAAACTTTTGGGAGGATGTTGGGGTAAAGGGGAGAAATACCAACATGGTCATGTAAAGTCATCATTATATAAATTAAGTATACAAATATTAAGTCAGACATATTTAAAAAATAAAAATTTGACAGCAAAGATATATTTTCATTAATAGATTTAGTAAAATGACCTGACATATCTGGATCTGGACATATCTTTATTATAGAACTTAGTTTGGAAAGTGAAGTAAGTTTCCATTTCTCAGTAATAAAGTGGCAAGTTCAGTTCTTAAGCCTCATGGAGAAAGCATCTGGTACACCCTCCTTGTAGCTGAAAAGAAAAATCAATGCATGTCCCAATAGGAGAACTGCATCTTTTTCTTTTGAGGGATGTGTGTAAATCCATATTGTTAGTAGTAATCGCCGTAGAGTCGTGAACTGGTTTTTACTAGTCGGAGAGGAAGTCTGCTGCATACACATTTTAATACCAGTAACCTGGGTTTGAAACCAGATTTTGCCATTTACCAGCTCCGTGCCATGGCAAATTCACACACTCTGGGATCCTGTGAAATGGAGCTATAGACAGCTTCTCGGGACTGCTGGGAAGGTGACACGGGAAAAGTTAGGAGTACTGGGCCACCACAGCCTTCTCCTTGCGTTGCCCGAGGGCAGGAGAGTGGCTGTGGCTGTGACTGCTCCCGAGGGTGGAAGGCCTGCAGGCGCTTTGTAATCCTTCCCCGGCAGGAAACCCTTCGGGACACAAGGACCCTTTTCATTGCATTTTCTTTCTTCTCAGGCTCTGATTTGAACGCTACAAGTGAAGACCAAGGGGTTGAAGCACAGGATAACAAGTTAAAACTAATGCTGGGCATCTCCCTGCTGACCCTCCTCCTTTTCACCATCCTCCTGGCATCATCTAGTGCCTTGCTGTACAAACTGAAGACCACGTAAGTCTACAGACCTCCGGAGGGTCTGTGACACGCACATGCGAAGCTCCCAGCCGCCTCTCTAGCAGACGGTCCAGAAATGTGACTCCCAAATGTATGCGGACGCTATTCCGTTGGCCACGATTCCCTGACTCAGAAAGAAGCCCGGCTGTCTCTGAGGGAATGCCCTCTTTAAACCTGTCCCCAATATTTTAAAATCATCCTCCAGAAATAGAGACCACCCTGACCAACTGGGAAGGATAGCGAGCATCTGGTTGGCATCCTTTGTTGAAAGCCTTGGAACAGAAGGGCCACGACTCTGTTCTAAATAGCACACCTGCTTAGGGCCCACCAGTGTTCATTCCTTTACATAGTGTGCTACCAAGTCAGCGATAGATGGGACCGAATCCATACACTGTTTTAACTTTTGTGATACCGTTTTTGAGGTGCGCTGCAGACGTACATCACTTACCACAATTACTGAGGTATGTTTTCTTTTTTCAGTTATAACAAGCAACTTGAGCGTCAGTACTCCATCCACCCCGAGCTGGCATCGCTGTCCTACTTCCAGCCGGCCCAGGGCGTCTCAGACTCATCCTTCTCTCGGAGCGCCGAGAGCAGCACCCTTTTGGACCCAGGAATGGGCATGACAACCTCGAATGAATACATGCGTTAGACCTCGGAGTGGCGATGTTCCCACTGATAGAGAACTTTAGTTTTGTGTCATAAAAAAATATCTTTCTTTGTAAATCACACGGACGTCATGATTTAGAAACTCTGCTGAGACGTTTACATTTTTCTGCCGTCTTAAAAGGAGGACGTGTTCAATAAAATTCTCTCGGCTATAAAAATTAATGGAAAAAATAAAAGGAAATCATTTAAGGTGTGGAAAACTCATCAAGTAAAAATAATCCTAGAAAGTGACTTATGAAACGTATTCACTCTAGGCTGTTTCATTTTTAATCCTCACCCAAGGTATGTTTTGTTGTTGTTGTTGTTGTTGTTTGCTTGCTTATTTTGTTCTAATTGAGTTTTAGTGAGAGAGGAAGGGAGAGGAAGGGAGAGAGAACATCAATGTGAGAGAGAAACATTGAATGGTTGCCTCCCTCCCACATATGCCCCAACCTAGGGATTGAACCCGCAACCTAGGGAGGATGCTTCAACTAAGCCACCTGGCCAGGGCAAGGCTGTTTAATATTTAAATGAGGTCTTACATACCTATTTACCTTACCTGCGGGCATTTTGAGGACTTTCAGGGCTATCTATCACCATGACCTATGCCCCTCCCACCACCAAAGCTAGAAGAATACACCTGTATGTTTTACTGGCAAAACAGTTGTGCCGTATCAGGAGATGAAACTAAATTAATACAAAAGACTCCTAGCACTCTTGAATTGTTTAAAAGCCATCAGGGCTGCGCCCCTGGGACAAACAATAAGAAAAAAATTTTTTTTCCTCCCATTTCTAAAGTATCCATAAACATTTGAGACAACATGGTGGACCAGCGAAGGGAAAGGCAGGAGTCCCAGCACATAACTTCTTGAAGGGGGATTCATGGACCCGAGTGTTTTAGAGCTGAAAGGCCCTTCCTTCTCTCTTCCCCCAGGGATCCTGGCTCACCATGCTCTATTGCAGGGGTGGGGAATGTCCTGCCGCAGGCTGTTTAAGGCCCGAGAAATCATTGGGTCTGGCCCTGCCAAGGCCTTAGGAGTGAGTTAATTAAATGTTTGACCAAATATAGCAGGCTAATTTTTTAAGTTGCTCATTTTGTATGGCCCCCAAATGATGTTATAAATATCCACATGCCCCCTGGCAGAAAAAAAGGTTCCCCACCCCTGCTCTATTAGAAGAAAAGAAAAACATCTCAAAGACTAATTTAGCTTATTAGTGACTTATGCAGCCCTAATAATCCCAGGGGTATTGCAATTTACAAAGAAGACCAATGGAATGGGGACATGTTTTCCCTTTTGTGAATCAGTTTCTCCTGGAAGGATTCCAGGGGCCTGGATCAGGTAGGTAGGTATGTGTGGATATGTGTGGACTGGAAAGAGGAGGAGAACTTAGGACAGGTTTCATTAATTCTCATCTACTGTATTGGAGGCACTTTGTATTTTACATCACACTGACCTCTACTCCCCTAGGAAAGACAAGTTTCTTTTACACCTCAAGAAACAAAAACCAAGATCACATGTGAGAGAGGCGAAGCTAACATGTGCTTCCAAACTGAGGTTCCGTGATCCACGAAGGTTAACAGTCCAATTTTTAACAAAAGTCAAAGGAGGTTGTCCAGGAGCAAGGCAGGCCCTGCCTCCAGAAGGCAGGAGGCTCCTTAATTCCGGAGTTCTTTCAGCTGCTGGGGAATTGTTTTCCTTCCCTCCAGCTGAGGACAGACACACACTTCACACCCAGGTGCTGCCAGGCCTACCACCCATTCTCAGCATCATTGCTCACTCCCCACTTTCTCTCCTGACCTCACCGCAGCCTCACTATTGGCTGGGAAAGCTCCGAAGCTCCGCCTCTGAGTAGCTATGGACCATATAAGATGGTACCCTTCAGGACAAGAGGTGTCAGGGCAGCTGCTCGCTTTTTCCTGATCTTGCTAATAATACCCATAATTCTGAGCCGGTGGTGGTAGCCTTGACCAATAGTCTGTGCTACCCTCTGGGGGTTACTTTTGTCATTTTCCAAGCCCTTCCGACCCGAGAAACGCAGTGGGGACTGAGTGAGGCAAGCGGTTGCAGCTGCTTGCAGGTGCCGAAAGCCTTGTGGAGTCTGTGGGTGAGAAAGGGCTGGTGGGAAGACTGGCAGGAGGGCGGGGGAGGGGTGACTACCAACCATTCCCATTCTTGGGAAGTGCCAGGACTTGGTTGGAAATAGGTGTAATAGTCACGTTTGAATCATATAACTTGTCTCCAGGGCTCAAGTATTGTAGAGTGAGCAAGTTCGTCACTATAGCATTACTCTGGCTAAAATGGCTAAGAGAATGATAACTGTGTTTTTTAAAATTGGCTTGTTATCCTCAGCGGGCATGCTTGCAGGGCCCATTGTGAAGTGTGGTCCAGGTACTGGGGTGGGGAGGGACCTTGCTGGTGACCAAGGTCTGCTCCCCACCTCGCTGGTGTGGAAGCCAGAGGGTCGTGCAGCCCAGGCTGGAGCGAGTGGAGGGGTCGTCCTCTCATTGGGTCCCTGCTGACCTTCTATTCCGTGGCTAAGCCTCCATTTCCTGAGCAGGTTCCCTGGGCCGGGGGAAGGACATACACCCCTCTGGAACCTGTCCGTGTCTCCCCCATGCTGAACACCCTCCTATTCCTTTCTCTGACGCCCATAACCTGCTCTTGCCCAGCCCTCACACAGGGATGTCCACGTTTCCCTTCCTGAACTACTTCAGGGCAAGTCCCAGAGCGGCTGTTCCAGGGTCCGAGTCCCTGGTCCCTCTTTCCTTGACCTTCCCATGGAGAGTGTGTTCTGAGAGGCGCCGAGCAGTGAGGGTGCCATGGGGTTCCGTTTAGGGACATTTTTCGATGACCTTATTGGGGGGGGGGCACCCAGTTCCTGAAACCCGGGGAGGGGCGTCCCAGGGGTGTTGGGAAGATGGTTGGGTGGGCTCCCTGCCCCAAAGCGTCTCTTTGGGTGGGAGAGGAGGGCGCTCCCCCAGGCGCAGCTGAAAGCTCTGCTCAGCTGCCCGGCTCAGTTGCCCGCTCAGGGTGTGCGCGTGCGGGCTCTTCTAAGGACCAGCGTTTGCCACTGCCTGCTCAGGGCGTGCGGGTGCGCGTGCGGGCTCTTCTAAGGACCAGCGTTTGCCAGCTCCTGGGAGCGAGGTCCTAGAAGGGTGCGCAGCAGAGCTGGTAAGATGCGTGCGTGGCCTCCTGCGGTTTTCTCCCCCCCTCCCCCCATATCCCGCGTGGGGTTGTCATTAAGGGCTCCCTGTGCTCTGGTGGAAAGCGGGGGCGGACCCAGGTCGGGCAGGGAGTAATTGTAAATGGAAACGAGCTGTTTCAGTCGCCGCTAGACTCTGGGTGTGCCTTCCAGTGTCACAATTAGTCCTCCAAACAAAGCTGCCGAGAGCAAAACTTCTTAACTTGTGAAATGGAGCGAAAGCATAATCGCTCTCCCCCAATCGCACCCTGGAGCACTGCTTACGCAGCCCTCTGTGAATCATGGCAGCCAAATAAACCCAGCGTTTGCCAGAAAGCAATTCTGGCTGATTATCCGGAGTTGACTTCCCTTTCCAGGTTTATTTAAAGAGAAATGAGAGCCAGACGTTTATGTTTGGATCCAGGATCATGGTCCTTGTGCCTGCTCGCCCCCTTCTCCCTCCTCCATCAAAATGCCATATACACCTTGTCACACACTTCGTTCTGGATTTCAATGGAGTTCGTGTCTTAGTAGAAAATGAATGATAAATTAAAAGGCTATCAAGCCAGGAGAAAGCTCATTGTGTAAAGAGGAAGCACGTGTGTGTTATCCAAACATGAAAGTTATCTAAGATAAATTCAGAGTTTTAGAAAGCATAATTTGGACCACATCTCATATCTGAAATCTCTTGTTTGGGAGAAGGGAAAAGTGTGTAATTACCCCATAATCGATACAGGAAGGCTTATCTTGGAAAGAGGGAAGAGGTGGAAAGGAAGGAGCCCTTTCTACCCCTGGGGTTTAGTTTGTTTTCTTTTTAATGTGTTTTTATCGATCTCAGAGAGGAAGGTTGAGGGAGAGAGAGAGAGAAGCATCAATGATAGAGAATCCTTGGTCGGCTGCCTCCTGCACGCCTCCTACTGGGAATCAAGCCCACAACCCAGGCATGTGCCCCGACCAGGAATCGAACCATGACCTCCTGGTTCATAGGTTGATGCTCAACCACTGAGCCACACCGGCTGGGCTGGAGATTAGTTTTCCTTGTTGATTTTTTAACATTTGTTGGTAGATAGGGGTATGTGTTTTGTTTTATTTTGTGTTTGAGGCATTCTGTAATATTGGGGACCTTAGAATGTTGGGACAACTAAATTAAAAGACTGCTGCTTTAAATAATAGTTCTGTGTAAGAGGCATTCAGCAATTTGAATTGTTTCCAAATTGTCAGTGTTTGGTAAATAGTAAGGTGAGTAGTGTATATCCAACCTATGTCCCATTTGACACAGTTCAATAATTATGTATAAGCCTGGCCTGTCCCACTGCTGTACAGTGATAAGGCACGAGTGTGCTTTAATCAGTCATAGAAATGAGCTAGACCCGTGGTCGCCAAACTGCGGCTCTCGAGCCACATGCAGCTCGTTGGCCCCTTCAGTGTGGCTCTTTCACAAAATACCACAAAATACCACGTGCGGGCGCTCACATACAGTGCGATTGAAACTTTGTGGCCCATGCGCAGAAGTCGGTATTTTGTGGAAGAGCCACACTCAAGGGGGCAAAGAGCCGCATGTGGCTCGTGAGCCGCAGTTTGCCGATCACTGAGCTGCTAGACGTTTGAAAGGCTTCAACAGTGATGGTCATTGACTTCTCCTTCTCCTTCTAAGAGCTGATAGTAAACAGCTCCCTGTGTTTAAAGCTGGGTTCCAAAGAGTTAATGATAGAAAATCACTTGTTCAGGCTATCCTGGAGTCTGCATTTCATCTTGTGTGATTTTTTTTAAATGAGTCTTTATTGTTCAGATTATTACAGTTGTTCCTCTTTTTTCTCCCCATAGCTCCCCT